CCTTTCCCCGTGGGTCCCCAGGGAGGCCTCAGTGATGGGTGCAGCACCCATGGGTGCCCCAGGGGGCTCCCCACAGCCAATGCCCGCCCCGGGACTGAGGGGACGGCCACCTTGTTGCTGAAAGGGGGACAGCAAGGGGGTTACCCCATTTTGGGGTGGTACATAGAGACATGGCTACACTTGGCTCTTCCCACCCGCCCTAAATGAGTGGCACATGGGGTGTGTGCGACATAAAAATGGTTTCCTCTTGCCCTTCTCCCTCCCCCCCTCAAAGAAAAGTCCTATCGCTGTCGTTTTTCTCCGGTGATTAACTCACTGGTAATTGCGAGGGCTTGACGGGCAGGTATTTATTCCCACAGGTGGGGAAACTGAGGCAGAGAGGCTCAACACCTCGCCCCAGCGCCGCGGGAGGGACCGCCCCAACGCAAGGCACGACCGCCTCATGCCTTTGAACCACCGCACAGCTGGGAGGGACCTACCTGTCCCCCCAAAAATCCCTCTAAATGAGGGACACCCCAGCCCCACCGATCTTGCCGCTCCCCCATTGCTCCCCTCCACCACTTCCACACCCCAGCGCCATCTCTCCAGGGCCTTTTGTCCCCTCTTAAGCTTCCACCGAAGAGTTTGGGGTTGGTTTCTTTAAGATTTTCACATTTTTTTGGATCCAAGCTGGCTGGGCCACCCCGATTAGGATCTGTTGCTTCGCGTTGCGCTGCAGTTTCACTCTCGCCCTGCTCGGGCTTGTTGCCGCACGCCGGGCGCTGGCGCAGCCTTGGCTGTGCCGGTGAAGCCGCGGCCCTGGCGTTATCGGGTGCGGGAGCCGTGCGGGAAGGGCAGGGTGTGCCCGGTGGCACCAGGCCAAGGCAAAAAAGGGGGTGGTTTTGGGGTTGGTTTAGGGTTTTTTTTTAATCAGTGACTCGCTGTGTTACTCATCCCTGCACACAGCCCCCAGTGCCATGCCCTGGCCCTGTCTTTCTGTCCCCTTTGCCAGGAGGATGCTGGGGACAGAGGATATGGGGGGAAACCCATGGAAGCTTTTCCCAATCATGGACGCTCCAGGAAAACACCCCCAGTCTCCACACCCCACCCTAACAAGGGGGATTTGGGGCTGCTCACCCCCCTCCCTGGCCAAGCCTTTCAGATGTGGTGGCTCTGGGGTGTCCCTGCCCATCGAGGGGCTCACACAGTGGTGGTGTCCGGCCCCACCAGCCCCTCCATATCCCAGACTGGAGCTGCAGCACCTGAATGGCAATGGGAGCTCCGGGATACAGCGTGGGAGTTGGCTACGCCCTGCTGAGCCGGGAAAAGGCGTTTTCCGAAGACACAGCCACATCAGAGACCAACTAAAGACCTTCTGTGAGCTCCAACCATGCACACAAGACCCCCACAGAGGGGCTAGGGGTGCCAAACAGGCAGCCCAATGTACCCAGGCCTTGAAAAACCACCTCCTGTCCTTGCCAAAAATCCCTGTGTGGGTGTAAATCCCTGCCCTGCACCAGCCTGGCCGTGTTCGAGCTGTTCAATCCTCCCATGTCAGCTCTGTCCCCATGGGGAGGACTCCCCCGGGTCTTGTCAGGACCCTCTGCAGTGGGACGGGAAGCTGGGACGGGGAACGTGATGGCTCGGGCCCCGGCGAAGGGGCTGAGCCGCTGCCCAGGAGGGTGAAAAAAGAGCCCCGGGTCACTGCACAGTGAGAGCTCAGCTGCAGCATCACCCCACAGAGCACCCGTGGGTGCCCTGGACACCAAAAAGTGGCACCAGAAGCTTCATCGCCATGGGGAGGGGACGCTCAGTGAAGCCCCAGCCCTGGGGGATGCTGTCCCTGTCTCCAGTCCCCTGAGTGGAGCTGGTGACACTGCAGTAGGGGACGCTGCTGGCTTGGGGACTTCAGTAGGGGACAAATTTCAACCCCCAGCCCCACCAGCATTGCCCATCCCCAGCCCCAGCAGCACAGCTCAGGCTCTCCTCGCTGTATGGGAAGGCTGAGACTTGCCCCAAGGCCGTGGCAATGCCACAGCCGAATTTAGGGAGCTCCCAGCTCCTGTCCCCATGGCCACTGTGGCCAATGGCAAAGGGATGCACCCCAGCTCTGGCAAGCCCAGGCACGAGCCGCAGGGAGCAGCTCCCCTCAGCCAACAGCAGCAGCAGCCAGAGAGCAGCGTACAGTAAATAGGAGAAACTTTTATTTGTTACAAAAAGTAAAAGGCAGAAAGAGAAGGTGAATCCTACTGGGCTCTACGCTGGGTGGCTCAGCTCCACCACGCAGCTCCCAGACTGGGGGATGGCATTGGGAGGACCCCGTGCTGGGTGCTGGAGCAGCCAAGCTGCACCGCAACCTCCAGCAACGCCTGGTCAAGGTGCTGCAGGGCACAAACCCCTTCCCTTACAACTAGAGCTGCACTAAGATGAAATAAGGAGCGGGGAGCTGGCTGGCGGGGTTGCAAGGGTAAACTCTGACCACACACTAAGTCCTGTCCAGAGGGGAGAGTCCTCCAGCACATGGATATGGCTTGGAGAGGGGCTGCTGGGGTCAGGAGTGTGATGCCACCGGCTCGGCTCGTTCCCAAAGCCTGCAGGGACACCAGGGGAGACACAGTCACGGGGCGTAAGGCTGGTGGGTTCGGGGAGCCACCGGCCACCTCGACTCGGCTGCGTGGGTCCGTCCAGCGGCAGGAGACAGCAGGGACCCCAGTTATTGCACTCGGGGGGGATTGCTTTGTATGGCTTTGAGCTCTGACCCCACAGGACGCCCGTCCCGGCTCCCGGAGCGGGGTGGGAAAAGCTTTTCCTTGTGTGCAGCTGCTTTCCCCCCTCTCTCGTGGTGGGAGGGAGGAAGGCGCAGCCGCGTAGCCCTGGCGAGCGGAGGCACTCGTGGTGGTCATGGCTGTAGTCCTGGGTGCTGCCCGTGGCGTTTTGGGCGCTCCATGAGGGGCAGAGGGCTGCGGGCTGCCAGGGCTCTCGATACTGGATCAGCCCAGAGAGAGGAGAGGGGAGGAAGAGAAAGAGAGGGTTAGTGCCAGAAATACACGAGTGAGGAGCAGCAGGGAATGGAGCGGAGAAACCAGGCAGAAAAGGGAGATGGTTTGGGATGGAGAAGAGCGCTGGCAGCTTCCTCCATCGCTGCCATTGAGGATCCAGCAGGGAGGAGCTCACGAGGTGCTGCAGGGAGGGAGAGGATGGGGTGCATGGCATGAAGGGCAGCTCTGGAGCCCATGGGTGAAGCAGGGCTCCATCACAATGTGCTTTGGAAGGACCTTACCAGAACCTGGCAGGAAAACAGGCAGAGAGGGAGGGATTGCCTGAACCACCGAGCAGATCAGAGCTGGGATCAGAAATCTGGGCCAGGCTCTCACTCCTCTGCTCCAGCCATGGCTCACTCCAAACACCAAATCTCTGCAGCAGTTGGGGGCTTCCTCCAAGCCCACCATGGCAGCTCCACGAAACACAAACCACCTCAACGTGCCAGCCCACAGGGCCCAGGTTTCAGGAACCCTCAACTCTCCGTTTTCCAAACACCACACACACACACAGACACAGACCAGGCAGCTCCATCTCACAAAGCTGGAGGAAACCACCCCTCTCTTCTCGCCAAGGCTGTGGATGGCACCAGTGGGATGCTGGTGGGATGGATGGGGCATGTTGATGTCTACACAACCAGAGAGTGATGGGCTCTGGGCATGCAGTGCAGATGAGATGGGTCACCCGGGTGGATGACGGGGAGAAGAAAGCGCTCTCTTACCAGCTAACCCTCAGAAAGCAGGGCTAACATCCAGGGAGGGGGCAAATCCCATCAGGCTGTGCAGGAAATGGCAAAGTCCTGGCAGGCGTCCTCCTGGGGAAGACACCAGAGATTACGCGCCTCAACATCTGCTGGTACGGCCGGGTTAGACATGGGGAGCACAGCCTGGGACCGAGGAGGGGGGGGGAAGGATGCTGAGGTGACGGCTTCTGGGAGAAGGGGACTGGGAAATGGATGGGATCCTGCCCAGCCTGGAGATGGGAGACAGAAAAATCGCTTTGCTCCAGCAAAAGTCATAGCAGCACCAAGCGCTGCTCAGCGTCCCTGGGGACAGGAGGTTACAGGAGCTTCCAGACAACATCTGGGCCTACTAAAGAGTCCAACGTCCACCTGACAGATGTTAAACACCGAGACACCTGCCCTCCTCTGTCTTAAAGGAATAAAATAATAATCCAAGCGATTAACTCTTTAAAAATAGAATTTTATTATGTTGAGTAACAAAGGAAACCAGCTTAAATAAAAACAGGAAGGAGTCTGGCCCCTGATACCCCACCCCACTGCTCCTCATGCCCCAGCACCAGCCCCACGCCTGCCCCTTTGGAGGGTGGCACCAAGGCTCCTCAGTGGCAGGGACAAACCTCCCGGGGGACACCCCTGCAGGAGAAGCGGGGAGGGAAGGGCAGGGTGGCCTCTCTGGATGTGACACAGACAACGTGCCCAAGCGCCAGGCCCGTGAGGTGGCACAGAGCTGTGGGGCTGGAGCCTCCCTGGGCAGCGAGGGGTTTCTGCTGGGCTCCGGTGGAAATTTGGCAGCCTCCGCCAAGCCCTCACCTCAGCTCTTCACGCAGGCCAAGGCAGACCTGGCAGCCACAGCAACCAAGCACTGAGGTCTCTCATGCGAGGCCAGGGGAACTTTCCAGCGCTCCCCAAAGCTGCGTTTGGGCTGGCGCGGTCGCTCACAGCGTGCGAAGCCCAAAGCGCGGTGCTGGCGAGTTCCCCAGGGCTGTCCCTGTGGACGCGCTGCCTCTGCCGAGGCTGAAACACGCGCGTCCAACCCACAGAAACCTACCCAGGCAGCCTGACACGAAACGCTGCGAGCCTCTGCCCTGGTGCTAACACACACAACGCTACCTGCACCGAATAGAAAACGTTCTAGGTAGAAAAAACTATCTACAGTTTGTGCAAAAATATCCAGCAGCTTTTAATAACACGGTTCAAGTATTGCTAACAAGGTCTGTGACTCTCCCCTGCGCACACTCAGCGTCAGTGACCTCTGGGTGCTCACAGATGTGCCCAGGCCCATGGGAATCGCTCCTGAGGTGCTGGGGAGAGCCCCAAACCCAAACCAAGACACAACGTGAGGTTGGCAGAGACCAGCACCCGCTCACTGCTTCCTCACTGGAGCTCCACCTGGAAAGGGTGCGACCCTCAGGGTTTCACTCAATTTTCTGTTGCCTTTCGGTCTCCTCCAGACAGGACAGAACCAGACTTTCCTGACTACCTAAGCTTCCCAAATCTTACAACTGCAGCCTTGCCGAGCAGCCTCTCGTGATGAGAGCTGCAGAACGCCACGGGTTTCTTCTTCCCCGTTAAAAGGAGGGTCATCCTACCCTGTGTCCTTGCTGCAAAACGCTGTCTTACTGACTGCCAGGGCCAAAACACAAAGATTTTCAGCACCCCAGTGACCAGCCAGAAACCAGGCTCACAGGAGCTGGGACACCTACCTAGCTTCCATATCTGCTGGGAGCCAGAGTCCTCCCAGCTCAACAGCCCCAATTTACCAAGGCACTGCAGCTTCTGGAACAGAAAAGCCGCTCTGGCAGCAGCTGAGGTGAGACCCTGGCTGTTAAGGGACAGAACAGCCCCTCCACGTCAGCACAGAGGAGCAGGAGGTGTCCATGGGGATAACAGGGATACCGGGGAACTTCACACCACCAGCAAACAAGGGGTGACAGCCCAGCTCAGAGCGGGAGCCATGTGCTGGTCCCCAGCTCCCAGCCTTGGAGAAAGGAAGCACCGTGACCCCCAGGAGCGGACGCTCTGGGCTCAGAGGTGCAGCGACTCCCCAGGCGCAGCAGGAACCCCCCACTTTCTGCACAGCTCCGAGGGTCTCGCGTGCTGCTGGGCTCTACCAGTCGAAAGTCCAGGCAGGCCACATCACAGTGAAACAAATGAACCAAAAAAATAAATAACTTTAAAGGGAAAAAAAAGGCAACGTATGGCTCAGCTGAGTCTTTGGCAGCTCTGCATCGCAGGGCTGTCCTGCCTGAGGCCGGGGAGGTGGTGAGAGGGGAAGGTTCTGGCTGGAGCGAGATGCAGGCACGGCAGGCACTGGGCTACGTCACAGCACTGCTAGGGAATGCCTCCTACCATGCTGGTGTCAGTTTTGGCTCCAAAGGATGGGATTTCGCTCTTCGGACTGGACGGGGTCCCGACATCCGGCTGGATAAATCCTCTTCTGTCTATCAAACTGGAAAACAGAGCGGGAAGGGTGCAAGGGCAGAGGGGTTAAAGGAGACGAAGAGGATGGGAAGCCACAAGGGCTGTCCTCGTGGGGACGGCAAACCAAAGCATGGGCAGGAGAGCACTGGATAACTCAGCTTCCTGCCCACGAGACAAACCACAGGCTTCTCACACAAGGCACCACAGCCTGCAGGCAGTCAAAGCTCTGGGTCACCACAAACCCAAATGGGAACTGGCGAAAGGTCCTCACAACAGGAAAACACCGTGAATTGGAATAAACCACCATTCTCCACACAACCTCTCAGTGAACAGCTCGGCTCCCTGAATCCACAGATTTACCATCTCCGAGGGGCAGCACTGGCATTTTGGCACCTCTGAACTCAGCAAAAAGCTCGGGGGTACTTCAGAGCGTGGGGAAAGACAGAAGTGTAAAGCTCATTTTGGCTGTAGCTGCACAGCCTCAGACACCATCCCCTGCAGTTGTACCACGCTGAGTTAGCACCTCCGAGATGCTCCATGTAAATATAAATTGGATGCAGTGAATAAACGTGGCTGAAGGATCCCCACGTGCCCTGGGAAAGGCTGAAAGGTTCAGCCTTCCACCCCTGGCCCTGCCCAACTGCACCCTCTGGTGACCAAGCAGTGGTGATCCTGTGCTGCAGGTACCCAAAGCTTCATCTGCAGCAAACTTGGTCCTTGTTTTAACATTGGTTCTGGTTAATTCACAGCATTTGGTTACCAAGCACTTCAGGTAATCGAAGTGCTGGTAAAAGCCAAGGTCTCCACATCACCCTGTGCAGTTCTCTGCTGACCACCACGCTCAGTCCTCAGAGCACAGGAGGGAAAATATGTGCTAAGAAACACTGCCACTACCAGCAATCCCCATCTGCTGCTGAGCCCTTTGGTGCCCTTACTCTCCCCTTGTTGAACTGCAGGGTGCAGCTTATCTGCAAGCTCCACAAAACAACTGCAAGTGACCCAAACTCATCCAGCTCAAACGCAGGAGAAGCAGCAGTTCTCTCTCTCTCACACATTTCTCCAGCCGCTCTCTGCAGCGACTGGGAAACTGCTTCCCCATCATCACGGGAGATGTGTTTGTGCTGGCAGAGTCTCCTCTGAATTGGGATAAATGTGTCCTTTGCAAGGCCTCTCTCACAGGGCAGGATGCAATTCCCAGCGCTGTGGAAGTCCTTACCTGGGATGGAAGGGTCCGCACAGCACCGCACAGCAGTTTGTGAGGATACTTTTATGGCTGTAGGGATTGGCAAACTCTGAGCCCCTCTTATTTGACCAGGACCCTTTGATCTGAAAGGAAAAGGATACGCACAGATTAAGATGGGAAAGGTGTGACAGCAGATAATTAGATAATAACGGGCTTGGTTCAAATCCTTGCTCAAGAAGTGAAACAGGCTTGTCCTGCTGCAAACGGCTCCCGCTCTCTGCTTGAACAAGCAAAGCTGCAGAAAGGCAGCCAGAGGAGACAACTCCTGCCTCCAAGGTTCAACCTTGCAGTGAGGAAGCTCCAAAGCTGTGCCCTCTCTGTGCTGCACAGCATCTTCTCAGTGCCACCACCTTCACCGCCAGCCTCCTCCGCCTCCCCTCGTTCCTGACCACAGAATCACAGAATATCAGGAGCTGGAAGGGACCTGGAAAGCTCCCCCAGTGCAACCCCTGCCACAGCAGGATCACCAGAGCAGTCACACAGGAACACGGCCAGGGCTTTGGGTGTCTCCACACAAGGAGACTCCACAACCTCTCTGGGCAGCCTGGGCCATGCTCCAGAACCCTCACACTCACAAACTTTGGCCTCATCTTCAGCTTGAACCTCCTGTGCTCCAGCTTGGGACCATTGCCCCTTGTCCTGGCATTGGCCATCCCAGAGCAGAGCCTGGCTCCTTCCTCCTGACACTGCCCTTTCCCAATGGATCCCCAGGAATGAGGGCACCCCTCAGTCTCCTCTGCTCCAAGCTCAAGAGCCCCAGCTCCCTCAGCCACTCCTCAGCAGGAGATGCTCCACTCCCTGCATCATCTCTGTGGCCCTGCTGGACTCTTTCAAGCAGCTCCTGTCCTTCTTGACCTGAGGACTGAAGGCTGCAGAGCAGGGCTCATGGTTCCTCCTCAGGCTGAGCAAACACCGAGGGGGTTCCCAGGCCACCGAGAGGAAACGACCTCATCTGTCCCCACCCTGAGCAGATGGCACCGGGACTTTGACTTCGAAACCCCGGTCACACCGAGCGTAGGCACACACGAGTGGGCAGATGCTATAGCTGGCCTCAGGCCCCTGCCTACACCCAACCATTTACATTTCCTCCTTTTTTTACTTCCTCTCCTCAGTTGCAGGGTAAGGTTGGCAACATGGCCAGGGTGGCAATGGGCCACACAGACCCAGTGCTCTCAGTATTGGGGTACGACCTCCATTAATTTCACTGTGCAGTCCTGCCAGCAGCTCTGGACACAGCAGAAAGGTGCAGAGGAAAGGGGAGGGAAAAAAAATTAAAAACCAAAAAGGATGCAAACTGTGCTGGAAGCTCCCAGCAAGGATTACAGGTAATTCTGGCCAGAAGGGTGCATTTTGATCCCGAGGATCAGACAGATCCTGCTTTTCCGTACAATCTGCCCTCCTCAGGGTGCTCACTTGGCTCCCAGAGCCTGTGTGCACCCAACTCTGAGATGAATCTCATCAGGTGATGTCTGAACATTATCTGCCTGTTAGACATGAGGAACCGACAGAGACAAAGGGACTTGCCCAGGGTTTCGGAGGAAACCCGTGGCTATGCGGGATGCTGAATTAAGATCACCCATGTCCCACGCTAACACCCAAATAAATCTCTAGGGGCAGCCTTCCTTTTTTTAAATCACAGAACTGCTAATTTTAAGCAAGGTCACATAGAGACTGGAAAAAACACAGATGTGATCTGATGAACACTTCAGCACATGACCCCCAGAGCCCGACACCACCAAGCAAGAGGTGTTGCACAGTCCCTTGCTGCTGCCTGCTGCTTTCCCCCCACTCAACCACCTGAAACTACAGCCCAAATGCCTCAGGCATGGGCTGTTTGCAGTGCATCCTCACAGGGGATTCAGGCAGCACACCCTACCGAGGTACTGCACTGAAACAGGCAGCCAAGGACCCCCAAAAATCCTCACCTCTGCTTAGGAAGGACCAGGGCTGACCCGGTCCTTGCAGAAGGACAAGCATCTGGGTACTTACGTCTTCGTTCGTTGTCAGGTTGGAGGCGACCAAGTAAGTGTGAAAACCTGAGAGGCCCAAAATAGACCAGACTGAGAAAAAACAGATCACCAGCTCCAGCACAGTGAAACAAGAGTCAAGGAAGTCTCGGAGAATAAAATCACCCTGCAAGGAGAGGCAAAGGACCGTTCTGGGAGGTGCGTGTTGCCACCACACACACTGGGCCATGGAAACATCCCTGTAAGCTTCCCATTCCCCGTGCCACCCTGCAGGCATCCACCAAGGCACAACCTGCTCCAGCTGTGTCCCTTTCCATGTAAACTCAGGAAACAAGTTTGTCACCACCTTTAGTCCCTGGTTGGAGGGGCCTTCCCAATTCGGTGACATTCTCAGTCTACAGATGAAGCCATGTCTGACTGTCCCAACCAGGTAGCTAGGGGACTAAATTAAGGTGTGGGGAGTACACCAGGGCGACCCTAGGAACTGCTCATTGCACCTCTCTGCTGCATGGCTGGTGTCGTTGCACCAGCGCTTCACAGCCCGAGCCGCTGACGGCATCACAAGGATATCTGGCAGGCGTCGTCTTCAGAGTGGCGAGGAATCCGTCTCTCTGAGAGCCTGCAAAGCAAAACGGGACAAGGAACAACATCTCGTCAGGCAGCCTCGCACCTCCAGCCAACGCTGCACTGCTGAGCAGTCACCACCCCGCTGGGGACCATATGGATCTGCCCAGGAAACATCTGCAGTCTGTAACCTTGCAGAATGTCAGTGCACAGACACAGCTCCAGATCGGCGCCTGGCACCTTCCCCGCAGGTTAAGGCAGATGCACCCCCCAGTTTATTTGCTCCAGGGGGGATAACCCAGCCCTCAGCTCTCAATGTCTCTCTGCAGTGAGGCGCAGGGTGGATCTGTGGTTCCCTGCAGTCTGAGACCCCGTTTATTCAGGCCACCTGCACCAAAAAACCCCGATGTAAACCAGCCAGACCCTTCCCACCCCTCTGTCCAACAGGAACAGCGAATCAGTGCTGCCTCAGGTTGTTCACAGCCCGGAGTGGCACACACTGTGGTCAGCACCCATGGTACTTACGCAGGGTGAGGTGGGTAACGACGCAGGCGAAGATGAAGGCTGTCAGGAAGGAGAGGGAGAGGATGAAGGCATAGAAGTAGCGATAGTTGCGCTTCCCCACGCAGTTGCCCACCCAGGGGCAGTGGTGGTCGAACCTCTCTGAAACAAAGGGACACGGTGAGGACTCCTGGTGCCTCGCACCCTGTAACAGAGCCAGGAATGCTGAGCCCCCAAAAAACAGGGGCTACAAACGGAGCTCCCACTCATCACCCCGAGACCAGAACCTCTCTGCAGCAGCACGTTACTGAGCTTCAACAGAGCACCGCTACCTCCTCGCATGCCCGTTTTATCACCAAAGGCCAAGCCATTTCTCTCACCAAACCCTGCATAAATACAAACCTTGTGACCAGCAACGTCTACCGCTACTAAAACTGAAAGAAAGAGGGCAAGCGTGGCATTTTTCCAGCAGCACTGGGTGGGTGCACGCAGCGTCGCTGCTCCCTTTTGGGGAAGATTATTTTCAAAGTGATAAAGAAATGCCTCTAAATCCACAGCAACTGCCTGGGAACCCAAAGTGGGTGCTATTTATCTGGAAACACTCCTGCCTGCCTCCTAATGACAGGGCTGCACTAACAGGACTGTGGGGGACACCAGTGCCAACAAAACCCACCACACACAAAGCAGACGAATGCCTGCAGCCCCAGACAGCTCCTCTCCAAACACTGCCCCAGTGTAAGGAGTCACAGCCACCCGCAGCTGTCCCCAGACACGTAATGCTTGGCAACTCCCAAACTTCTTCTCTGAACCAGAGTCCTGGGGTCCTGGGGCTGCTCAGCCTCCGCATCCACGTGGTGCATGATGGGGAGCAGCTGCACGAGGAGTAAACCCTCCAGGCATGCCCCTAAATCACACACCACCCTGCTGCCAGTTCAAGTTGCTCCGGTGCAGCCGGGCTGTGCTGGGAACCTCCCTGGAGCCATCAGAGACTTTGCTTCAGGTCTCTGTTCATTCCCTGCTGCCCCCACCGCAGTCTCATGGCATGGAAAGAGGACATGAAGAGCTCAACCAGCATCTGCGGTGGTGCCAATACAGCAAGATCACAGACAACTTGTGTTTGGTGGGGGCCTTAACTTCAATTCATGGCACAGTGCTCCCAGAAAAAGGGAAAGCAGAGACATGGGGTCTTGGATGTGATGCCCCTGAGCCGCTGCACTGGTTTTGCTTTCATTTCAAATGGGAAGAGGAAAGACCACTCCATATCTCGCTTGATAATCCTTTAGGAGAAGCAAAAGCAATCTGTCCAGGAACATAAACCAACCCATGACACACACAAACACAAGAGATACCAGCACCTTCCCACTTCCCGGGCTTACCCACACAGTTGTCGCAGACGCTGCAGTGAGAGGTGCGCGGAGGACGGAACATCTTGCAGGTGTAGCAGTACTTGAGTTTCACCACGTACTTGTTGATGACCACTTCCATCGTGCGGGCCGGCGGGCGGTAGGTGGAGGTGCCCATGCTGTCTGCAAGGGCGAGGAGGGACAGACAAATTGCTGGTGAAACCCAAGCCCCCGGATCACCCCGAGCTGCTCCCTGGCAGGTGAAGGGTCTGGCAGGGGAAGAGACTGGCAGGTGCTCTCCTGGTTTTAAGCAAAAGCAGAGGTGGCTCAGCCTGCAGGATTTGTTGCAGGGTGGCAGCCAGGAACTCCAGTCAGCTCCTCACAGCATTATTTATGTCCTTCCCTCATCTGCTCAATGGCAACGCTGCAGGGATGCCAAGAGGAAACAGTATCTGCCCAACTCTTTGAGAACACGAAGCAATTTATCAATAGTGAGCATAAAAGCAGCGGCGTCCACGTGCCCAGTAACACCGATTCATCTCTGCACATCTAACGGATCAGAACACGAGGAGGCAACGTCATCTGTCAACACACGCCGGGTTCCTCCTCCTCTGTTCGCATCCAAGCTACAGAAATCGGGAGGCGGTCGCAGGGTAACCCCAGCAGCAGCAGCCCCTGCTGCCAGCACTCAGCGCCAGCCCGCAGCTGGAGCCAGCGGCGCCAACGGGCTCCAGGGACTCATTTCTGCCACGCCGAGGAGGTCTCGAGTGCTCCAGGCAGATTTCATTGAAATCTGACCTGCCTATCAGTAGCACAAGAGGATTCCTCCTCTCCAAGGCTGAAATCGAGGGGTTTTAGGGGCAATGCAAGTTACATCTGTGTGCGCTGGCACTTCGTTACTCATCGGGGACTGTTTCTCTGCTCAGCAAAAGCATGAGCTGGAAATCCTCCCTGTCACGTTCGCAGCTTGGGGGTTATTCCTGTATTTCAGTCACTCTTAGCAGAGCACCTTTCAACTGCGAGGAAGCCTTTGAAGATGGAGATGTAACCATGAACATCTTAAGAGGATAATAAGTGGATTATATTAACAGCAACAGCTGGCACATCAGGCAGCATCTGCAGCCAGATTACTGCTTTAGGCACTTATAAATAGAAACACGGATAACCGCTCGGAGGATATTTTAAAAGCATTTTTTTAATCAGATGTAGATTTACTGCCTTGCAACTGTCTGCAGCGGGGCAGATTCAAGCTGTCTCACATTAGCTGTGCCAAAGCGTTTGTTACCAAGGGTCACATCAACAAGGTCCACAGCTCCTGGATGCAGACACCTTCTTGGCCACCACCACAGCAGCGTGACACGGCAGTTTCAGACGGGGACAGACATTAGCATTCCGTTAGGAACCATCACAGCACGGAAAACCTTGCGGCACAGCACGCTCAACGGCAAACCACAACCTTAAAAAGCACTCAATCCTAGATTAATGACCCCAAGTCCTCATCACCTGTATTTTGCAGAGGATTGTATAGGGTCAGGCTCCTCCAAATTTGGACAACGTTTAAAGTAACAAAAGCACCATTACGGAGCAGCCCAGGCACAAGAACCTGGCAGTGGGACTCTGAATGGGGACTTTGTGCTCCCCCAGCCACTGGTACACAGTCCCTGGAGATATTTGTGTTTAGGACATTGATGCCCCAAGTTCTCCCACCCCTGAGCTCTGCACGGGGCTGCTGCCCACTCAGGGGCAGGAACAGGAACAGCTCCAGCCAGGGACTGGGAGAGCAATGGGACCAAAGGAAAAAAACCTCCACTTCTCTGCAGGTCCTGTCTCTGACCCGCTGCCTGCTGTGCTAGAGGAGCCCGTCACACCTCTCTTACCGGGACTCACAAGACATTTCAAGCCTCACAATGTGATACTCTGGCCTTTTCTCCAGAGACTGAGCCCAAAAGGTGTACGGTACACACACACGGGCATGCACCGGACAGAAGAGGGAATACAAGTCTCACCAATCCGCCTTTCCAGGTCTGCGGCCTCGCTGGGGGTGGCTCTGGGCAGGATCCCGGGGTCTCTGAAGCTTGTCTGGAGCAGGCAGCTGATGACGAAGAAGAAGAGGACGGCTGCGATGATGGGGATGGCCAGGGTCAGGTGTCTGGCAAGGAAGGGGCAGCTGTGAAAAGAGAAAAGAAAATGGCATTGTTCCCAACTGTCGCTACACGTCTGGCTATCAGCTGTGGTGTTACACACCGAGTCATCACAGGGTGCTGGGCTGAAGAGCTTCTGCTTTGCAGAGATCTCAGGAACAGCAAGAGCCAGCCCAGAAAACACTGGAGTAGCACTGGGAAGACAGAGGGAGTTTGGCACACAAAACTACACAAACTCTTTGCCCTTCCAAAGTCCCAGAATCACGTCTCCAAAACCTGTCAGCTGTCCCAAAGCTCGGTCACCTCCAACAGCAGCACCAGGAACACACGGAGAAACACCCTGAGCTAAGCAGGGATCAACATCAGCACGAACACAGTCCCGTTTGGTCCAACACGTGCAGCCGAGAGGGAACCTGGCTTCGATTCAACACAGCTTTGCTGCCTGGATGACTCGGGTACCCTTCACACCGTGCCAGATGCTTGGCCAGGGACGCCTTCCAGCACTGACACGGCTGTGACGAGCCACCAGGCACCCGAGGCAGACGATGCCCGCGTCTGGGCTCGCTGTGCTACGACCTGGGGCTGCTTTTCCACAGATGGGGACCAGTGGGATCATTCTCCACGACCGGGCAGCTCCGTTCCTCGCAGCACGGCAGGTGAAGGAAGCTGAGGACCACAGTGCAGTGCTGGGGTCCCCTCCCATCCCTCGCTCTGCAGAGGGATTTGCTATTATAAGCACTGATAAATACCCAGAGCCCAGCACGGCCAGGCAAGCTGCTTGAGCCCCGCCGGCTGCGGGCAGCACTAAGTCTCAGTATCGCTGCGAGGCAGTTTGAGAGGATTAAGCAACTTTTGTTTCAACTCCCGAGCTCAGCTGTCCAGAACAAAGCAGCCACCAAGCAACAAAACCTCTTCGGCCCGAGCCCGGCGCTGCTGCCGAGCCCCTCGGTCACCTCCCAGAGGGACAGAAAGGGCTCTGAAATGAGAGATGCGGGCTTTGTTGCCACCTCTTTTTTCTGGGAGAATCTCTGGATCCCGCTTTCTGCTGTCAGGCAACAAGAAATCACATTAAAAAATGTGAACTGTAGACACAGGCGAGACGTATTTGCTGCACATCAAGCAACCCGTAACCCATGCAACAGAAGCACACTGCTAAAATAACAACTTGGAAAGCCCCAGGGCATCTTTAACTGAGAAGCAGTGACTAGGCAAGAAGGGAGGGAGAGCAGATGTCCTCTGCTTGGCCCCACACAAGCAGTTACTGTGCTAGCGCTGCCCATTAGTTTCAGATACGGCAGAGAAAGCTGTCAAAGAGGCACAAACGATGCTAAGAAAGGAGTTTTTGGGATACCATTACTGCCTCCCACGGCTGCCTGCCCCTTTCAGCTCATCTGACTTCTCAGAACCTCTAATCCCATCAAATACCTTCATCTCCCCGCCTGCAGGCTCGGGCAGCTTTAGGATAAGACTCGCAGAGATAACAGTGATCCGAAGGCAGGCACGACCCCCCCGCTTCGTACAGTGCAGGAAAACAAGCTCCCTTCCCTCCCGAAACGCAGGGGCAGGATAACAGAAGCTCTCTGAGGTGTCAATAAGCCAAGGTGCCCTTCTGGGCAGTGTGGGATGTAACGGGGTGCTTCTGGCTCTCCTCTCTTTTGGGGTGCAAGAGCAGGGAGCTTCCCGAAGGAAAAAAGGGGACTGGGGGAGATGCAGCTCCCTCTTCCCCGGGCACTGCTGCAGAATGGGGGCAGAGCTCCAGCGCAGACCCTCAAGGTGGGACCCCAAAGGGTTTCACCATTTAGCAAACACTGTTCTTCTGCCTCTGGGGACAAAGCCCCCCCAAGTCTTGGGGTTTTCCTGGCTGCCATCCTGGAGCAGTACCCTCCTCAGTAGCAGGAGGGGAGACTGGGGGGGTATTTAGAGACCTGGGGTGCACCTACGGAGGATGTTAAACCCCTTCCCAGGGTTTTACTGAGCAAACAAAGTCCGGGGCCAGCCATACCCACCCTTCCTGCCCCTAGGTACAAGCAAAGGGAGCACAGTGGCTGCCCGCAAAGTGGGTCTGGGGGCTGCACAGAGAGGGAATGGCTGGGGAGGGGACAATGGGGAAATTGGGGGTCCCATAGGGCTGAGAGAGGTACTCCCCAACCCACCTCCCTCTAAACAGCTAACCCACGGCTCCCCCAAAAAGGGGGGCTTAAAGGAGGGGAACAAGAGATGCTCACGGCTTCACCCCAGCAGGGAAAGGAGCCTGACCCCGAGGTGGGGGCGCCCAGACCCCAGCACCAGAGGGACCCCAGCAGAGAAGGAGGGGGAGACACCGCGGAGCCCCGCAGCCCCCAGGGCGGTGCCCGGAGCCCCCGTCCCGGGAGCACGGACTCACTCGAAGGCGAAGAAGAGGCCGCTGGTGACCAGGATGAGGCCGAGGGTGAGGGCGAAGACTCCGCTGTGCCGC